ATTTCGTGTATATATTATCCAATAAATGTTCTAGGTATAATACGTAAATACAACTTTTTTTTGAGCGATGTTTCGTACGTTGTTGCGGCTTACTAAAGTATTGGCACATTTTTTCGTAATTTTGCATTATCCATTTTAAATTATCATCCAAACAAAGATCAAAACTGGGTCTATCTATTATCATCATAACTTACACAAGCAGCTTTTAAGAGTTGCATGGCGGCAACGTCATAAAGTAAGATATAAACTAAAGTATATAAAATCTATGCCAGTGCAAAGTGCATGTTGTGCTAAACTTTTACAATGAAGACTAAATCTAGGCATTATAAATAATTATCCTTAGAAACATAAAAACAATATTCTAGTTAGTAATTTCCTTCTCAAGATCGTAAAATTGGTAATGGTAATTAATTTGAATTTTCCATATTAATATGAACTATTGTTTTTAAATTTCCAAGGTTAATAGATCGAACGAAAAAAAGATAGATAGAAGCATCTGCTAATTAATTTTACACGCAATTGGCATATTGTCCATTCACAAATATACATAAACATATATAGTAGTTCGGTAAATACAATCCATATACGATTTATAAAGTCCATTTGTAGATAATTTTTTGGTAATTGACCCACTGCCCCCCGGGAGATGCAAAGTAAAAGTATCTAAAAAAAAGGGATTAAAGCTAAAAGCAGCGGCGGGTATCGTTTCGATGTTTTGGGATCGGGCGAATCCCCTCCAGATTGGGAACCCAATCATTTGCATAGTCAGCACTTGGGGGTGTTGGCCCCGCTGCTCACGCTGCTCGTCTCCAAATGCTGCATCAGCAGCTGCTGGAGATCGGCTCGCAGGGCCCGCTCCTCGTTGATCTGCAGCTTTATCTGGGACATGTCCTGCTGCATCTGCCGGATGGCCGTCCACAATTGGCGCAATGTCGGGGTCATATCCTCGTTTTCAAGGCCTGCTTTTCGTTTTGTGTTTTTTGGTGGAAAAAAGAAAATCGAACAGAATATGTTAGTGTTGTGTGTGAGAGATCGGATGAGGGGATCAGAGTGGATTGATGGCCATGTACAGAATATGACAGTGTACGGGAATAATAATATGTATAGGCGAAAATAATAACTATTAAGCTATTGCTAGGAAAACATAAAAAACACTATGACTAGGGACTCTGCAATTTAATCCAACTACAGGATATCAATATATAAGGTACTCTAAAATTTTAAGGATATATTTCATTTATTTCTATGGTAATTAACAACAAAACACACAACCACACAGGCAAACAAAGGGAGATTCGTCTTGTTTAGGATTTTATTCATTGTTTGATTCGTTGAGTTATCTCTCTTTTTTTTTCATCGACAAATATCAACTTCGTTACAGTACAAACGTATAAACTGGTTAATAGTAGAGTATATAGTAGTTCATTTGGTTAGACAACGTTTTCTTTTGACAAAACACTTAAAAAATAAGTTGGTTTTTCCTTCGGTCAATAATGCACAACAGTTGGTTACTTTGATTTAGTTGCTGAATCTAGCTATGACTAACATTTAAAGCGCACTCTTTGATTTAGTTGCTTGCTGAGCAGGTAACGGACACTTAGATACAAAACTCACTAGGTCGATGTCCTCCAAAAACACACAGATGCAATACGAATTACGAGTATATATAGTAAAAAGTTTAGGCTATGTATTTGCTATGGCAAAATTTTGATCCACTTTCGTTGGGGCAAGTAAAAAAATATAGTTCCTAAAGCATTGGACGGAAATTCTGAACTAAAGTCCATTGAATTTCAAAATAGAACCAGGAGTTGCACTCCAGTGGCAAGCATCTTTTATCAAAACATCGAGTAGCATCTAAACTAGTCTCTTTTTTGCCAAGTCTTTTCACAGATTACATATTAATAATAAGCTAAGTTAGAGGTAAAACAATATATAAGCTAAGCACAAGTTCTAGTTATAGTCGAGATGCAGACACATCAAGGCGCAGCTTAGGACTAAGACAATTATTTGTCCATTCGCTTACAAATTTATACATTTAAATCGCTGGTCTAGAATCTAAGGCTTGTGGCATTGAAAGCTTTGCGCAGCCAGTAAATCAACTAAAAATCAATTAAAGATTTGCACACAGAGCGCATTCAAAGCAAAGCATCTGTATCTGTATTTGTATCTGGAGCTGGAGCAGCGGGATGCGATATGCGGATGCGAGGCGATGCGATGGATGACTGATGAAGGCATGAGGATGCCCCGAAACCCAGACTCAAACATGGTTGATCTTGCGCCACTGTTTCATCACAAAATTACCGCAACACCAGCTGCCCGACTGCCTCTTGCTGCCATCGGCATTCAGTTCCAAGTTCGCCGAGGGTCCTGCTCCATTGCTGCGCAGCAGTTCCCGCTCCACATCGCTGTCATCCGACCGTTCTCCTCCCGCAAGTTGGGGCGTGCTCCTCTGGAGCGTGCTGGTCCGCAAAGCTCCGCCGCAATTCATCAGATAGCCTGCCCCATAGCCGGCATAGCGATGCGAGGTGGAGGTCTCGAAGGATCGATTCAGCCGGCGATCGTAGAGTCCTGGGTGTCCCGTGGGATTAGGCTTCACTATGGTGGTGGTGGTCGGGGATCGCTGGTACGTCTGCTGGGCCACCAACTTGGGCGACGGTTTGTTTTTCCTCGGTAGCAGCGGTGAAGTGCACACATTGTCGTAGCCGGAGCCAAAGCCACTCTTCAGCCGATTCAGCGACTTCCTGGTGGCCCGCTCCTCGGACAGGGCTCTCTGGTAATCCTTGATGGTGGGCGATCCTCCACCTGCTCCCGATAAGGAGTACCTTTGCGCAGGCGTCGCATTCAGCGAGGAAGACACCGAACTGGAGTACAGATTAAAGTTGTTGGGACTCGCCTCGCGCCAAATGAAGGAGGAGTTCAGGCTGCCGGCGGAGTGCTGACGACCTGTTGGCTGCTGGGGATGTTGCTGCTGCTGCAGGTGTTGCTGTTGCAAGAGTTGCTGCTGCTGCTGCTGCTGCTGATTGAGGTAGGGTGAGTTGGCTATGAAAGGCAGCTGTGGATTGGAGGTCGAGAAGGTTTTGCTCGTTTTCAGCTTGCCACCGCGGATGGGCAGACACGGAGTCCAGGGTTGCAAGGCTATATCGATTCGATTCGGGTTCGGGTTGGATTGGAATAAAGAGAGAGAGAAAAATGAAGAGATTTGAAGAAACGGAAACGGAAACGAAGTACCAACAACGAGGGAAGAACCAAAAGCCCAGAAAACAAATTAAAAGGATCACAACGCCAACAAGGAGACAACCACAACAATCAGATGAAGAGGGTGAATAAAGCAGGGATGTGGGATCAACGGATAGAATTTTTCTACAAGGATAAGTACGACATCAAATCAGAGGATAAAAATAAATATACCAGTACCATAACCAGCAGCAAAAGATCATAATACAAATACCAGTTATAGTGACTAGAATCGGGATTGTGGGATGAGTGTGCAAAAATGGTTAACAAAAGATCTCCAACCATGAATTCAACATATATACAGAATGTGCAGCTTAATAATAATGGATAACGATGGATAAATTAGTCGAAATGGGATTGTTTAGGGTCAAGGGAAATGAGAGAAAGGCACAAACGGCGGCAAGAATAAATTAAACTAAACTTTACATAGGTAATGGGGTAACAAAAATAAGATTTATTTAAAGTAAGAAACATAATAATTCCAATTCAATTGTGGTCAGTACAAATAATCATAGAAATACAGAATAGTTGACATTATTTAAAGCAAAAACTTTGGTTTCCTTTCTTCGCACTGCTTAGCACCAATTGCAGAGTTGAGTTTGTGGATCTTAAAACGAAATCAATTGCCAATGGTACAACTAAAAAGTCAATCGTTTCTCTTAAAAGTAATTTGGTAATTGGTTAACAATCTGTAAGCTTAAAGTTAATGTGGTTCAACTAAGCCTATTACAATGTTTTCGGTTAAATTTGGAAAATTCCTCTGGTTTTAGTGCAACGCCTTGTTAGAAATGAATAAAAACATGAGATAATTGAGCAACAAACCGAACAAAATGATAAATGGTTCTTTTAGCGCCTGGACTTTTAGGTGAGTCTGTGTTTCTGTGTGTGTGTGGGAGGATTTTACAGCTGTGTGTTTCGTGTGAGTGTGTGTGGTAAATAAGCAAATTAGCTAAAAATTTTTAGCCTTTTCTTCTTCAGCAAATGATAATTAAAGTTGAGTCGGGAGCACATGAACATCCTTACAGCTAGACGAAGCACATCTGGGATGGCCGGCGCCACTTACCCGAGTGGATGGTGTTCCTGGCGTTGTTCTGGTAGGCGGCACAGTAGGCCTCGAACACCCGGAGCACCAGGGCGTCCTCCTCGAAGGTCGGCTGGTTCTTCCTCCCGCTGCAGTAGCTGGCCAGGGCGTTGCTGGAGCTGCTGCCGCCACCACCGCTGCCACTTCCCGATCCGCTGGAGGCATTTAACAAACTGGGCCGCAAAGGCGGCGTGGGACGCAGGCAGCTGATGGTCCAGTTAGCTGGGAATTAGAGAAAACGGATTAGAAATCTATAAAAGGTACAACATTTAACAACGAAACTTTGGTTTCTAAAGGTCAACAGGTTAGGATATATCTTCATTAATTAGAATAATATTTGTAAATAAAATAGGTACTAATACTATTTTAAAATAAAAAGAACAATTTTCCTAATGCCTATAATATACAACATTTAATAACGAAACTTTAGTTTTAATAGGTCAACAAGTTAAGATTCATCTTCATTAATTAGACTAATATTTGTAAATAAAATACTAATACTATTTTAAAATAAAAAGAGCAATTTTCCTGGTGCCTATAATATACAACATTTAAAAACGAAACTTTTATTTCTAAAGGTCAACAAGTTAAGATACATCTTGATAAATTAGAATAATATTAGTAAATTAAAATACTATTCTTATAGATTAAAAAATGAGAAGAGCAATTTTCCTAATCCTAATCCTCACCCTTTGTGCTTCCTTTCCTTGCGTTTGGCACCCCCATTCCCGCCGCTGCCGCCGCTGCTGCTGCCGCTGCCTGAATTGCTGGACTGGCGTCCATGGATGAGGCCGGGATTGGAGCTGCTATCTTGCTGCTTGGTATCTGGACTGAACTTGATCTGGGGCCGGCTGCCCCCAGATGACTTGGCAGACTTGGTGGTTGTGGTGGATGCAGATGATGTGGTGGAGGCTGAGTGGGCGTGTACTGATTGTAGCTGAGGTGGTGGTTGAACGACTGGCTCCGTTTGTGATGCGACATCGAGTTGGTGGCCGGCGATCCCTGGTGGCTGTTGCTCCCCCCGCCGCTGTTGCTGTTGCCGCTGGGCGGGATGCTGCTGGGCGTGGCCGGCGGACGGCCTCCGGTTGGCAGCAGCAGGCTGTGGCTCGAGGGCGGCGACATCTGCAATGCAAGAGATAAACAGCTAAAGTTAGCATCGGATTTTTCATCAATTTAATTTTAAATCATTAAAAAAGTATCTTAAGTTAGTTTCATGATCGAAGAATATCTAGGTGAACCGCCAACAAGAACAACGTACAACGGCAGGCGGAGGCAGGTCCTTCAGGCAAATCCTGCAGCGAGCAAAGCGCAGCAAGCAAATCGAATCGAATGCGTTTGTTTGGTTTCTGATTTGGAATTTTCATTCACATTTCGAATTTGTGTGTTGCTGAGCGTTAGATAAATGTTTTGTAATTCGTTTAGCTTTTGGACGGATGAAGTATCAACTCAATCATAGAATTAATGAGTGGTGGAGTCGAGGGAGGAATAATTGAGATCTTATTCATTAATTTAGATTTCAAATATAAAAAGTTTCAATATTTTAAGTTCTCTTTGCATCTTAAAGACTTTGAATATGGCCATAAATATATGTTATACTAGCTTATAGCTTTAAACATTTTTCAAATCTACGTTGTGTTTAGTTTGGAAAACTTAGAACTCTTTAAATAATACATTTTTATAGAAAAAAACACTAAAAATTATTTTAAAAAAAAATTCTTTTAAATATTTACAACTTATTCAGTCTATTAATCTTTATATCTCTGATCCATTATTATCGAGTAATGAGCAACTAATGAACTCGCATTGGGTTAGTCAAATGATGAGGAAGCATTCTGTGGATGCGAATGGTGACTTATTTTTTTTGGACGTGCTGCATTTGGCCAAATGGTTTGCATTAGGGTTCTTGAGTATGAGGAACATGAGAGAGCAAAACGAATTTACAAAACAATTAAACGGAACACGTGCACGGAACAAACGCCGCCGGCCAGGAGTAAGGGATTCCATTCGGTAGAAGCCCTCGGTTCACCTGGCCGGCGATCCATTTCGGTTTGCTTGCCTTCTTCGGCGCCGGAAGCAATGCGGCCCGTGCAAATGGGACAGTCGATGGTCGAGGAGGAGTCGTGGGTGGAGGCGATCATGCCCTCGTCCTCGCTGCACAGCGGGCAGCTCGAGGATGAAGTGGTGGTGGTCGTGTTGGTGGTGCTGGTGGCACTGCCGTTGTAGTAATCCGCGCAGTTTTGGCACACCGAGCAGTACAGGGCGCCCTCGCTGTAACCGCTGGCTCCCAGCGAGCAGAAGCAGCTGGAGCACACCGACCCCGAGTCCTTTGAATCCTTCGAGGGCAGGCTTTTGTTGTAGGCGTGCGCTATGCCGCGCACCACCTCCGGCGGCAGGCGCTCCTTCTTCCACCAGTGCGCATACATTCCCGAGCGGAAGGTGGCCTGAGGTCCTCCCAGTCGATCCGTGGAACTCGAGCTAAATAGGAGATCATTGGACGGCACATTCCTAGTAGTCTCGTCCATGCTCGAGCTGGAGGGCAGGAAAATACTCCTCGTGTTCACTTGCACTTGAGCGGAACTAATGCAGTTGGATTCTTCTTTGCGGTTGGTCGGTGTGGTGGGCTCATCAGGCTCATCGACCACATCCTGGGTGGCCTCTGGCGTGAGGAACTTCTCCCTGAACATGCCACACACATCGAACCTCTCGGGCTCCACATTATCGAGCATATCCTGGCCGGCGGCCTCCAGGGGAAAGTAGGATTCCGGATTGGGAGGATCCGGGGAAGTGATAGTGCAACTGCCCGCCATTCCGCTGTCGCTCGATCGCGGACTGGGACACTGGGAGCTCTCACAGCAGCGGCATTTGGTGTCCAGGTGGAGATCGGGGTCCCTGCGAGGCGGTGGTGGTGGAGGCGGCTGCCGATTGGACATCTGCAGGAACTGATAGCTGATGCAGCGTCTAATGGAATCCCTACTTTTCGGAGGAGCTGGATTGCGCTTTCTAGAGGAGGCATCGATGCAGAGCTCCGTGGTGGAACTACTTCTTGTGGCGGAATTAGCATCTATCTTGAGATTTCCCGTCGAGGGACTGTCGCTCTTGTGGGAAACTCGCTCCCGCTGCAACTCAAGGGGTTCCTTCAAAGCCTCTTCATAGTTGTAGAGCAGCTCCGCCTGCAATTTATCCGGAGCAGTGCGACAGGCAGCGGGCAGATCCATGGAACTGGAGTGCAACTCCTCCTCCTGCTCGGCATCCACACTCTGCTTTTGCATCTCCTGGCGATCCCGCCAAGTGGGCACATAGACCTCAGTGTTTTTGCTCTGATTAAAGCGATTGCCCACAAATATGGTGGGCATACTGTGACGTTCGGTTGGAGAAGCTGGCAGTGGAGTGGGTTGCTCCTCGGCTCCTCCACTCGACTCCCGGCTGAGATCATCGGGCAAACTGGCCAGGTTCTCGCAGGCGGTGAAGGCCCCGCCCAGCCTGCCTGCATACATGGAGCTGGCATCAGAGCTCTGTTGTTGCAGGGAGAATGCCCCTTTTGGCTCCTCTTCCACGCAGCTGGTTATGCTGCCGCCAATTCCCAGCTCCAAAGTTGCCGTGGAAGTGTGCACACTGGAATTCCTAGTCGTAGACTTGCGAGCCAAAGCTCTCAGAGCCCTGGAACCTATAACCAGCGACTCCTTCTTCAGCTCGTTTTGTGCCAGCACCTCATCCGTGTCCACCGAATCCAACTTGATGAGATTAATCGAGGAACAGTGCCGCCTGACAGAAGTGCCATGGTCCACAAAAGTGCCCGTGGAATTGCACATGGAATCGTTGCGCCTGTTCTGGTAGAACTGCACATACTCAAACGGATCCGAGTCGCAGGAATGCAAGAAATCATCCTCGAAGTCATCGTCGTAGCTCTCCGAGTCCGTGGGCAGTTCGATGGCATCCTGCCGCTCCAGCTCCGACTGCCCCGACTCCTGGTTGGCATTGAGATCCTTCAGCTTGGCCGCCGCCTTGTGGCAGCGCTTCTTGCGCAACGCAATCCTCTTGAGATCGATGCTCTGGCGAGCCTGCGGATAGAGCAGCATCTTCACAATGGCACTCCTCAGTCCGCCGCCCTTCACGAGCCTCGCAAAGTGGGCACTGAGATTGGCGTACGGCGCCGTGGGCGGGTAATTGCTGGGCGGCAGCGTCAGCCGCAGCGGACGCACATGACAGGGTGGACCGGAGTAGTAGGCACAGAGCGAGAAACGCGTGCAGTAGCCCCGCGAATCCAAGTGTTGACTCAGCTGCTCACAGTTCAAAGAGTGTCGCCAAAACGAAACGATAATAAGGGTAAATAAGATGGGAGTGCACTACTTACATGGGCCGCGTTTAGGTGTCCCAGCGAGGAGTTGCTCAGGTTGCTCAGCTGCCGCTTGATGCCCATCGGCAGGCTGGGATTGTTGGCATTCAGCAGCTCCACCCACTTGTTGGCCTCGTTCGGTCCCTGGCAGACGGCCACAATGCGATCGATCAGCGGACTGCTGATCTCGAAGGCGTTCTTAATGGCATCCGTGTCCTCCAGGCGATTCACAATGATCCCGGTCAGCGGTAGTTTACCCTATGTTAACAGAGATTATTAAATAAAGTATTTAATAATATTTTATCTCCCACCTCATAGATGAACGCACTCATCCGCTGACTGACGCTGAGGAAGAGCAATGTCTGGGGGAAGAGCACAAAGTAGCGATCGCGATGATCCGCTCCCACAGCCACGCTGCCCATGTGAATGATGTCGCCGAGGGTGCTCAGCTCCTGGCCCTGCCATCCGCGCACCGGGCCCGTGAGCACCTGCAGCTCCAGCTCCTTTTGCCGCCGGGTGGCCGAGCAGGTGGCCGCTATGTCCTTGTACACGGCCACACTGCGCTGGGTGTCGCCACGATCCGGATGGCTACTCTCCATGTGCCGCTCCAGTTCCTGCAGCATGGCGGAGTACTTGTCCAGGCGGCGGAAGGGCTTCGACAGGCCCGTGGTGAGCACGAGAAGTCCCGGGGTGGCCGCGCCCTGGCGTTCCATATACTTCTCCAACTCGTCCCTGTTGGGTTAGAAAAATAATTATTAATTATTACATTTATTTATTTAATATACAATACAAAATTTAATGGAAAGAATGGCACTGGAAACTAAAGTCCTTCGGCCGAATAATTATTAAATAATAAATATATAAAGAACGTTTATAATAATTATTAAATATTACATCTAATCGTTTTTTATATGATGAATTATTCTATATTTAAAAGTTACCGTAACTGTTATAAGTTTTATCACAAAAATAACATTTTAACAGTAATTTTCAGATTTGTAAAGTAAAACTTAAAGAATTTTTTAGCTTTATAATAAAAGTTGACAAATAACTGTTATTCTTCGTGATCAAAAATAAAACTCAAACTTTATTTATGATGATTTTGTGGGTAAAATAAATTTAAAAAAAATATAGGTATACAATATTCGCAGTTGTATTTTTTTAAAGATTTTTAGTAAGTTATATAAAACACGGTTAGCATGTTTTTTTAAATTATTTCATTTTTTCAAAAATGTCAAGGGAATAGCTGTTATACAAAAAAATCAACAAATAACAGTTATAATAATTAATGTGATTTTTTAAAGATTTTTTTGTCAATCCATTCTGGGTGGAATTTGCTACTGACCGTTTTTTAGAGGTCGAATTTTATATTAGTTTAGAAATATAATTAAATATATTAATTATTCTATATTTAAGCTGTCTTATTCTACGAATCTCCTCGTAGACTCACTTGTACTTGTCCAATATAACGATGGCCTTGGGATGGGCAGCGCAGTAGGCCTGGTGGACCTTCTTCATTAAGGGGGCACTGGTGAGGAATAGTTTTCCCACTCGATCGTTGCACTCCTCGATCTGGATGAGCAGATCCTCGTGCGTGCGCACGATCTCCACAAAGTTGCACATCAGCTGGGCGTACTCATCCTGGCTGAGACTGTAAAATAAAGACCGATTTAGTTAGAAATTCAATGCACATAATAGATAACAACTTACATTTGCGTCTGTTGCATGGGCTCCAGGAAATTCTCGAGCAGACCCTGCAGCTCGGCCACATGGGCTCGCTCCGAGTCGAGCAGATCCTTCAGAACCACCGAGCGGTACTCCTGGATCTCCTCCGGCGGCCTGATGGTCTCCGCCAGCGGCAGCTGCACCTTGCACTCGTTGACATAGTTGCTGGGGAACCAGCCAGTCTTCTCGTTCAGCGTTCCCTCCCACCAGCCGCCGTCCTCGCGCTGGGTGACCGTGATGACATCGCCCCTCTGGAAGCACAGCTCGTCGTTGTTGCTGCCCGAGAAGGAGTACTCCGCCTTCACCACCAGTGGCTGCTCCATTGTCGGCCTCTGTTCAAGGCTGCTCCAGATCCGCACTAGATTGCTTTAACTGAAACGAGGCAACGGGGTTTTGAACTTGAAATATCAACCAGGCAATTTGCTCAATGGAATACAGCATATGTGAACATATCTCTCTATCTCTCTATATATAGTTTATACACAGCACCTACGCATTATTGCAGCGATCGCTTGGAATTCCTCTTTTCTAGCAAAGCAATAATTATTATGGCCCCAGGAAAAGAAAACATTTTCAAAACATCTGTCGAGAAACGCGTGCGCAAGTTTCTTGACACTTTTCCGGCGACTCCCCTCCGGCTTTTCCGCTTTTCTAACCCAGCGGCAAGTGTCTGGAAAACTCGTGGCCAAGGTCACACACAAGCTGCGAAAAGCCATTAAAAAAATTGGGTAAAAATCACTCAGTTATTGCGAAAATCTCGCTTAGGGCTATGAAAACATTTTGAAAATCCGGACAGGCCAACATATAAATCATAAACAACGACCGTGTCTTGTTCGAAATTTGAAAATATTTACGAGCCAGTTTTTTAATGGGCTGTTCGAACAATTCTTTAAGAGATCAACATTTGATTCCAACACATTGCAAAGCGATTAATGTTTATGGTAATTGCTGAAATGGGCTGGGCCTTTATAATTCCGAAGGCAAGTGCAGTCGGTCCATGAAATCAGTCATCTATAAAAAGAAGCAAATTTGCAAAAACATTTTCCGAATATCTCGTGTACTGCGACATTGGAAAATGAAAATACCTACTACACACTATAAATTCTCAATGTTCCATGGGCCAGTGAAATAATCTATTGTATGTGCGACAACTTGTAAATGGTCATAAAATATGAACGTCATTTAGAAGTGAGTCATCTATAAAAGTCGATAGACCACTTTTGGAATTATTTGGAAAAAGTCGGAACTTCTATGTTTCTTATGAATATTAAATAATTTATAATAACTATATAATGATAACTCTGCAAGTAAAGGGTAAAATAATATGGATCTACTATATATAGATAGATTAATCACATTTTTGCGCCATTGCCGCAATGAGTAAACGCAAAAATATGAATAGCATGTTTTTATTTTGCCCAATATTTTTGTTCTCCGCTGGGATACTAAAAATAAAAAACGGATGAAAATACACATCTTGGCGACCAGCAAAAGTCCCATATGGCAGACGGGAAAGTGGCTAAAAATTAGTGGCTCTTCCGAATAGTTTTCTCCAATACTTTACGGCTCCCAAGAGATTTTCAAGATTAATCTAATGATTTTCCTGGGAATTTAGAACGAGAATATTTCCCTGAGGCAAGGTCACGTTTTGGTTGCACACACGCATGAAAATGCCTTTAAATTGTCGCTTTCTCGCCTAACCACTCAGACACTCGAGTGTATATGTACCCGATAGAGTCTACTATATAGACGGATGATATATACTTTTTCAACAATAAATTGTTGTACGAAATTTTGCCGTTTTCCGCCGTTTCTGCTGCTTTCAGACGTTGCACCGCACGCGTTCATTGCTTCAGCGAAACTGGCGAGAAAAGCGGAAAATACAGAACGACTGGCGACAAATGGCAGCCGAATTTTCCACGGCTACCGAAAGTGCCACTCTCCTCCTCGTCATTTTCATTTTCTCACTGTCTCGGCGGGATCGTGAGAGAATCGAATATATATTCACATATATGTATATACTTTTCAAGCGAACACATCGCATATTTTCACGAAAAATCAACAGAGATGTGACAAAAAAATATGGATCCGGGGACAACCTTTTCATCTGCGTTTCCAAAATGGGGACTTCGGGGGATCGTGCCTGTATCTTAATTGTATTTCATTGAGAAATAAGCGACAGCAGCATTCCTCGACATGCTGCTTATCTTTTGTGTTTTGAAAAATCCCATAAAAATTTTTGTGCCAAAATATATGCGGAATACTTATTGAATGCGAAATCGTCCATGTTTGCGGGTTCGGTCATCAATTGGGAACTTCTGCATATAAGAAGTAGGTCTTGGTCAGACCACTTTGTGAATTATTTGTGAGAATTTCACCTGTTCCGTTCAGTTTCCTGTTCGAATAAATATGGTTTACGCCCGTGATTCATATGACATGTCCATGGAATGTGGTTTCTGTCATAAACTGGGGAGAATAAACAATCTTGAAACTCGCGATACAGATGTTGTCATTTAGGAAATAATTTGGCATTATGGTTTTATAGGGATTATGGATTTATGGCTGTGAATTTGGAAAAGGTATTTTAGAACTAAATTATAGTTTAAAAGCAAAAAACATTATAGATGGAAACAAGAAATAGATCATAGGACACACAGAAAAAACCACCTTATAAAAATATTATAACTAATTAAAAAAATTTTAAAATATATTATATATATAATATAATAAATACTTTAAAGAACACACAGAAAAGAAACACCTTATAAAAATATTAATAGATTGAAAAAATATTTTAAAATATTTTATTTTCAAAGCTGTTTTCAACAGAATTTTTATCAAAATATGCTTCATAAATACAATGCAAAAACCTAGCCAAATCTATGCCATTTCCCCTCCGTATCGCTTAACCCTGAAATCACTTTAAGTCCATGGCCGGCAACAATCAAATTTCCGTAGGTGGTGGTGCTCCAAATGAGGCAGCCGGAGGTCAGATGTGCAGATGCATAAATGCAGATACAGAGATGCACAAATGCAGATATGTTCATGTACGTACACACCCCATTGAAGCGCTCACAAGCCAAATTTTAATTAATTCATTAAACTGGCACATGGCGCCGCGCAGAGCAGCAGTGCAACCTCAGATGCAGATACAGATACAGATTCAGATACATATGCACTAAGCCCACGCTCTCTAAAAATATGTCATCTCTTGGTTATTAACGATCTGTCGCCAAAGGCAGAAATCAAATGGATGTCCTACCTCTTCCGGAAATGCGCAATTTGACGAAGAAATCGTCGCAGGGGAAAACCTCAAATCGCCGAATGTTTATTTTCGTGGGGCGACCGAGAACATAAACAAAATTTAAAAACCATCGAGAGATGTGAGGAAAGCGAGTGGCGGTGCTTTTGTTTTGCTTGGCAAAAGTCAGGGGCAAAGACAAACAAAGCCAGCCAAAGACAAACCAAATTTATGCAGTTCTATCTTGCGACGACCGGATCCGGATCGCCATCCCTACACTCAAAAAAAAATTTTAGAAAATCGCCTATGGATTTGCTTTACTGGCGATTTTTTTCTATATTTCTGGAATATTTCTTGAATTTAATGAATTTTGATTAATTGGAAGAAAATTTTCTTTACCAGTAGAAAATTTTTTTATTTTAAAGAAAAAAATCGCCAGTGAAGCAAATCCATAGGCGATTTTCTAAAATTCAGGGCGATTCATTTTCTGAGTGTACCAGCGCCTCAACCGAAACTGCACTCAATCGGGGCCCCTTCAATGTGTCAATACCGAGATTTACAGGCTGCACAGCCACCGCCACTCGAGATGCATTTCCCTCGGCTATATAGACATAATATAATTTGATTGCTCGGCCGTATTTATAGATACTTCGTGGCGGAGGAAGTCATCGGCTGATGTGGGCGGGCGCACAGAAGAGGTGAGCGAGTGGGAGTTCCTATAACTCGAGGGGATCGGATCCATAGTTCTCGTATTGCCAACACACCGAAAACGAGGTCAGCTGCGGAAATATGAAGAAATGCGGTTCTTTAGCAAAGTTTGTTTTGGGAAAATACGTACCAGAGATATTTCTGAAACGCTTTCATTAGAGCGCAAAAATCACAATAATAAGGCAGAATGAGCAAAGTGGTTAGTGCAGGTAGATGCGAATAGGTTTTACCCTAGAAAATAAACTAGGGGTTTTTTTAATTTGTTTTAAAAATATCTATAGAGATTTAAATATTAAATATCTCATTTTTAGATTCTAGATATTGATTTTGAAGCTGTTATTGAACTCTATACTATTTCTCTAAGCCGAAACCAAGTGAATAATGAAAGAAATGAATCTGCATTCGGGTTGGCCACCGCCTTTCATGGGAAATTCTCTTGGCAGCGGTTCAAAATTGTTCGGGTAATGATGCTTGTTGGTTCTGGGGATTCAATGGGGAAATTCGGGGCTTGGAGGCATGTGGCAGGGTCCGAAACGTGCCTCCTTCTACATCCGGCAGTGCACTTTCTTTTCACAACGAAAGCTAACAAACAAACACTTTTCGGGAGGAACGGGAATTGCTATTGACCCATTGGATTATGCAGCCGGGCGACTTTTTGGAGACGGCGCATAGGAAACTTCCCCAGCAAACCGGCAACAAATTACATTTGCAACAGGAGCTGCAAGTTGGAAAAAAAATACGTCTTGAAAGTACAGGAGAACTTCTACAAAAGTTACAAGAATCATTATCAAGACGTAAGCTGTCTTATTTTCTTTTAAACTAAATATTTGTATGCAGTAAAAACATAACTAATTATTATAATAAATATTGCGATTATGCATAAATCAAGGAAAATCATTTTGTAAGATGATAAACCAAAAATTGTTGTATTTCAATGGGCTATAACATTATGCCTATTTTGTCACCAAAAAAAAGTAATTGCACCTGAGGAAAATTTGTTAATAGTTAAAAAATGGTATTAAGTGTGATCTTGGTTATCCTGTTGATGGAACCGAAAAACTTGGAGATATGACTGAATAGCAAATACTACATTTTTAAAGTGATTTCTTCTGAGATGAAGATGGATTTTTTAGATCACATTAGATCTAGTATTCTATAGGGAGGTTGCACTGTAGCTGCCTGCTTGGGGATGTCTATAGATGCCTCTACTTGGATGACGCATCGCAGGGCGGTGGGGTTAATTTTCCGATGCCACTGAACCTTTGGCCAGACGAATAGTTATGGAAAACCTGACTCATTTCCATTTGCCAGCCAAGCTGTCTGAAAAGTTTATGTTTTATTATTCTTTTGGCTCACCTTCAGCTGAGTTTCGTTTCAACAAACATTTGTTGCTCCGTTTGTTGTTGTTCCTTCTTCGTTCGTTGAGCAAAAATAGATTGGTGAGTAATAGTAGATGTTCCCTGAGTTTCGTTGCCTCCGCGAAAGTTGCACCCTTATTATCAATATACACAATTGGTTATATACCAAAAAGAGCACGCTTTTCACAATTTATGGCCCGATTTTCGGATTTTCTGGCCAATGCAACGGATATTTCACTGCAATTTCGAAGCACTTGTTTACCTTAGCGCCGATTTCGTGTCGTTTGGGGTCAACCGCTTGAAGCGCCCTTCTGGTTCACCAGGTGCACTTAATTAAGCACTGTACGCAACACTCTTTTTCCCATGGCAAACATAAATAAAACACAGCGCACGACCAAAATAGAAACCTAGAAAACCAGGGCTAGAGGTGGAGAAACATCGATAGAAACATCGATGCATCGATGTTTTACAATTTTTTAAGGCATTTTTCCACTATGCGGTTTTTTCAGTATTTTTGTGTATTTTCGATTGGCAACGCGATAGGCGGACGTGAGGTGTTTCCATTGGCAAACGCGTCTGAAAACAGCTGTTGTGCTATTGTCATTTGCGAGCTGAAGTAAACAATGGATTTAATTAATTTGTTATTGATAATCTATACGAAATAAAGTTCATGTAAATATCAACAATAAATGGTTTAATATTTCCCGCTTCTTATCAGCCTCTTATCAGTTTCGGGTCCAGAAAAATGTTCATGCCTGGTTAATACTGCTTAAATATACCACAAATTTCACTTTCCAGCCCTGTAACGCGACAAATTTCCACCCTCCCCTCTTCACCCCTTGCCTACAAGTTTTGTATGGGATTTGGGCGCGTTAAACGGTAAATGGATGCAAACGCGACGCGTCCATAATGAGCAGAGGGCATAATAACCAGGCATGAACATTTTTCTGGACCCGAAACTGATAAGAGGCTGATAAGAAGCGGGAAATATTAAGGGCCGGTTTCTCGAGTGCCGGCTAACATTTCTCGAACAGATAAAGTCCCTGCTAAGGCATTTTGGTTTTCTCGAGCCCCAATGTGAGAGCTAACTTTGACAGGAACTCGGAGTCCCTGTTAAGCGTTTTCGGCTCGATAGAATGACAGCTGATTTCCCAAAGCCAACTAGAAGAAGAAACGAAATCACAGCTGACTTTTCCCTTGAAATATACCCAAACAGCTGATGAAATAATCGAAGCACGCCATTTTTTGCGCTTTACAGCACAATTCTGTGCGTTAACAGAGCTCTGTAATTGTTTCTCGTTCAGATAAATTTAAGCAGTCGAGAAAGCCGATTTGCTTATACGAACAGTTTATCTGGTCTCTAAATTTTTTGAACAGATAGCTATCAGGGACTTTGACAGGGACTCGAGAAACCGGCCCTAAAACCATTTATTGTTGATAGGGGGATTCCCTAAACTGTTGAATTGCTGAATTGTTGAAAATTCAACAAAAAATTTCAGCAATTAAGGGAACGACCCAAAATGGTTCCTGTTGAATTTTCAAACAGCTGTTATTTGTTGAAAAATTTCACGGAACTTATTTCTAGTTACTGTCTAAAAGTGTTACCAAGGTAAAAAGAACTACAAATATGCTTTCTAAGTTGATTTTAAAATAAATAATACATACTGGTGATACTAAAATGGTACAGAGCTGCCACGACTTTTCAAAAAGCTGACCAAAATTCAACAATTCAACAGTTTAGGGAATCCCCCTGATATTTACATGAACTTTATTTCGTATAGATTGGTATTTGATTTATGATATACGCCAAATGATCTGGCAATAGTTCAGAATTCCGAGGATGATCCAAGCGCATAAAGAGCAGTAGCAGTTCGTTTATCCAATGGAATGGCTCGGCTAGAAAGGATCGGAAGCGAAATATTGGTCGTTGCAGCGCAGCCACATGGGCTTCCCTGTCTTCATGATCTTGACGTTTGCTTCGCGTGCGCCATTCGTCCATTAAGGCGACCTCCTGGTTAGACCGTAGATGGCCATTCCATATTCAAATGACACACGTTGACAGGCGACTGCTGGAAAAGGGCACATCTCCCTCTTTCTTGCGCACAATGTTTCCACGCTGTTCAAATGCTGTTCTGCGATTACAATTATCAATAACAAATTATTTAAATCCATTGTTTACTTCAGCTCGCAAATAACAATAGCACAACAGCTGTTTTCAGACGCGTTTGCCAATGGAAACACCTCACGTCCGCCTATCGCGTTGCCAATCGAAAATACACAAAAATACCGAAAAAACCGCATAGTGGAAAAATGCCTTTACTGCTTAAATATACCACAAATTTCACTTTCCAGCCCTGTAACTCGACAAACTTCCACCCTCCCCTCCTCGCGATCGCCTACAAGTTTTGTATGGGAATTGGGCGCGTTAAACGGTAAATGGATGCAAACGCGACGCGTCCATAATGAGCAGAGGGCATTAGAAACATCAATGTTTTTTGGCGACAATCGATGTTTTTGTAACATTACCAATTTTAAAGAAAAAGGCGGAAAATGTGTTTTTAATTTAAGTTTACTGTATTGACATGATTTTAGATGATTCAACTGGTGGTGTAGGATGGAAGCTGCGGTGTATTAAGCTTTTCATAATACTATTCTATAATATTATAAAGTGAATATGCTGATCACTTACATATTGTTGATTAATTTTGTTTAATTTTTTTTGCCGAATAAAGCCTTTGTTTATTTTGTTTTTAAATTAACTGTATAAGTTTTTCAATTGGGCTATTTTATTTTACTGATTTATTTAAAAACAAAAAAAATAATAATTTTTGTAAAACAAAGTTGTTTTACTCGATGTTCTTATTAAAAACATCGATGTTTGCGAACATCGATGTTTCTTCACCTCTAACCAGGGCTGCAATCATTGTGACCGCTGGTAGGAAAAATACCGTCTTTTGTTAGTTGAAAAATACCACAAGAAATTGCACTAAACCAGAGAAAAATGCAGTTTTATTGTGTTTATCAATACCTATCGAAATGTAGAATGTAAATTTTTTAAATCGGACCATTCGTTAAAAAGTTACGGCGGATCGAAGTTTTTATCTCCATCTTCGCACTCCCTTTAGCTGAGTAACGGGTATCTGATAGTTGGGGCACCCGACTATAGCGTTCTCTCTTGTTTTAATTCAAATTTTCTAATAATCATTTAATTAGGTTATTTTAAAGCCCAATTACAAAATTCAAGATCACTCATGCGCTGCAACAAAATTGTGTATTAAAAAGATAAAGTGTTTTGGAACTTTATTGATTTTTATTTACTGCTACTTAGGCTTAAAACATTGTATTTATCATCGTTTGTTATGTTATTTATTTTACATTTTATTAAACATTTGGTTACATTGTTGGTATTGCTTGATAAATTAAAATGTGATAATTTGTTATTATGATACAATTAAACAATATTTTCATACCTAAACTTCTTTATCAAACTGACAAATAAAATGTAGCTTTCGGTCACAGGACAAATCATTAAATTGTTTTGCGTACTCATGGGAACTTCCGTTAATATGAACGCAATCCTCATTGTTTTCATGATTGTCAGGTTGACCCTTCCTCCAGTTCTTAAATTTAACTGGCTTGCCAGTAGCCACGGATACGAAGTTATTCTCGCTGTCTCGATCGTTGATTCCCAGCCAGTAATATGCTTTTAATTTTCCAAAAATGGCATCCACTTCGCTTTGATTTTGGAAAGCGGCAAGATATCCGCCCATTTTGCGACAGATGCTGTTTGCCGTGGTCCAATCCGCCTTAACATTGTTCTCAACATAGAAATATCGCTGGCCTATGCGCACAAAATCCGGCGTCATTTGATAACTCCTGAAGAAGGCTTCCTGGAGTTCCACCTGCTGGCTTTCTAGGGTAGTCTGTACTGCCATCTGTTTGTCTTCCATCTTCACCAGTCTCGCCTCAATGTTCTTTGGGATGACATTGGTAAAGGTTTCCAACAGGGATTTTTGCTCTTTCTCCAGATTTTTCTGTACACCCAGTTGGACTGCAATTGACTTCTGTACGTCGTCCTGCTGATCCTCAAGCCGTCCAAGTCTTATGTTGAGGGCCTCTGACTCGTTCTTCTGGACACATTCCTCCAAGGATGTCTGCATAACATCCAATTTGGTCTGCAGATCGGAGTTCTTCTTAACAAGTTCACTTGAGGATATCTGTAGCTCGGAATACTTCTTAGCCAATTCTTCCAAGGATGTCTCGAATTTGCTCTGCACCTCGGAGTTCTTCTTGGCAGATTCCTCAAAAGATGTCTGAAGGACTTCGAATTTGTTCTGCAAATGAGAATTTTTCTTAGCAGGATTTTTCATAAGATGTCTGCAGATATCCTATTTGCCTAGGAAGTCGGCATTATAACTTACGAATTTCTCAAATGATTTCTGCAGGACACCCAGTTGGATCTTCAACTCCTCCAAGGAAGTCTCCATTTTGCTCTGCAACTTAGAGTTATTCTTGACCGATTCTACACAGGATGCCTGCAGGACATCCAATTTGGTCTGCAACTTCGAATTCGTTTCTTCGATAGCGCCGATTTGGTGAGCAATACTAGATCGCACTAACTGCGCAGTAATATGGTGTATTAACTTAAATAGATCTTCGTCAGCGTTCGTTGGTTTAGCCTGGGATTCATTCAAATTCCAGACAACAAATGCAAAACACAAGAGAGTTCCGAGCTTAAACATGTTGAGTAAGTGACGAATGCTTGCAGAAAACTGATTCCTAAGTTGGAAACGGGCTGCCTTTTATAGCAGCGTTTGGCATGCAATATAATGGCAGATGTTCCAAATTTTTTTTGTATGCCTATTTTCTAAGAAATGTTAATCTCTTCAAATTTTCCAAGTTTTTCTTAAAAGAGGGATCTGCGCGCATAGCCAGCAAACATATCTAATCTGATTTTGTATGCTAATCTCTTAACAGCGATCGCTTGCCATCAGGGCTGAGAACCACTTTTCACAGGTAGAAACGGAAAACCCACGCCAAAATAATATGGGTTCACAGCCCTGCTTGCCAATTGACTTTTGTAAATCGCCAAGCTGATCCTTAAGCCGCCCAAATCTTTCCCTAACGTTCTCTGATCCGATATGCCTGACAGATTCTTGCAAGGATACATGCACGACGTCCAATTTTACCTAACAGATTAACCCAAAGATTTCTGCAGAAAATTTATACTTCTCCGAATTTGTCCTAACAGATTGCTCCAAGGCAGTCTGCAGGAAATCTATTTTGAAGTGCAACACAAAATGCTTTCTTTGAACCTCGCGGATTTGCGCAGCGTTTATTGATTTAGCCTTGGATCCATTCAAATTCAATACAAGAAAGTCCCGAGTTGAAACATTTTAACGAAAGTTAGCAAAAAAGTGATTTCGAATTTTAAAACTGAGAGTGCTTAAAATATTTCATTTAATAATGGTCGGATTCTGAGAATGTAGATTATTTCTATGTTTACGATTGGAAATTCGCGTGATTCCCATTTTCTAAGGAAATTAATAATGGACCGATTCTGAGATGTATTTTATTGGTTTAATCCCAATTGGCTTTTCAATAAAAGTGAGTAATAGGCTTTGGTAAAAAATATTTTTTTTAGAAATATGTATGTTGAAGAACACGTCAACCAATTTCTACATAACACAATCCCTTTTTTGCACATAAGACAATTTTACATGGCCTGGAAAAAAATTAAACATACGATAAATTCGGACCTACAAAATTTGGACTAAGTGCCTCTTATTTACTAAACCACTTGCTTAAAATATTTTTGTATTCTATTATAAAATTGAATATTTGGTTTAAAGAAATTTTAGAAATAATTAATAGTTTGTTTATAGTTTAGTTTTCTGCAGTGGAACGCGAATACTCTAAAATAATTTTTTACACCAACTAAAACTGTCATAATCTATCGAAACTTCATTTGCGTACATTGTTGGATATGTTTAAATTGTTAATTTATTTAGATTAAATAAAAGCAAGGATTACAAATTATAAAATGTGAAAGTATCTTCACGTTATTTCAAGAAATTATTTCAAATCAGTTCAATTTTTGCGCCAAAAAACTCGAACAAAACATGCCCACAGGGTGTTCCGAGCCCATCCAATGCATCTATCGATAGTCCACATAATCGATAGGCATAGCTGCCACACGTGTTTTCGTCACCGCACGCTTAATTTTCATTTCTGAAATAAGATGGCCGAAGTTGCTTCAATTATTTCAAATCAGTTCAATTTTTGCGCCAAAAAACTCGAACAAAACATGCCCACAGGGTGTTCCGAGCCCATCCAATGCATCTATCGATAGTCCACATAATCGATAGGCATTGCTGCCACACGTGTTTTCGTCACCGCACTTAATTTTCATTTCTGCGCGAAATACTCAGCTAAGATGGCCGAAGTTGCTGAAACCCCCGCTGTGGAAGTCCAGGAGAAGGAGGAGGCGCAGCCCGCCGAGGCGGCGGTGCCAAAGAACGGCGATGCCAAGGAGGAGGCGGCCCCGGCGGCCGAGGAATCCGCCGGCGACTTCTCCAAGCAGGAGCGCGCCATTATTCGGCAGGTGGAGTACTACTTCGGCGACGCCAATCTCAATCGGGACAAGTTCCTGCGCGAGCAGATCGGCAAGAACGAGGACGGCTGGGTGCCTTTGTCCGTGCTCATCACCTTCAAGCGCCTGGCCTCCCTGTCCACGGACCTCGCCGAAATCGTTGGGGCTCTGAACAAATCCGAGGAGGGCCTGGTCGAGATCAGCGAGGATAAGCTCAGTCTGCGTCGCCATCCGGAGCGCCCGATTCCCGAGCACAACGAGGAGCGGCGCAAGGAGATCCAGGAGCGCACCGCCTACGCCAAGGGCTTCCCGCTGGACTCCCAGATGAGCGAGCTGCTCGACTTTGCCGCCAACTACGACAAGGTGGTCAATCTGACCATGCGCAAGCACTACGACAAACCGACCAAGTCGTACAAGTTCAAGGGCAGCATTTTCCTCACGTTCGAGACCAAGGAGCAGGCCGCCGCCTTTCTGGAGCAGGAGAAGATCGCCTACAAGGAGCGCGAGCTGCTGCGCAAGTGGCAGGTTGACTACCTGAAGGAGAAGCAGGAGGAGTACGCCCAGAAGAACGAGAAGCGCAAGAACAAGAAGGAGGCCAAGCCGGAGCCGGCCTTCGAGCTGCCCAAGAACGCCATTGTGGTCTTCGAGGGTGCTCCGGAGACCTCCACGCGCGAGGAGATCCGCGAGGCCTTCGAGAAGATCAAGGACTTCGAGGTGGCCTACATTGAGTTCGCCAAGGGCGAGACCAAGGGCTCCGTGCGTCTGACCGAGGCCGATGCGGCCGAGAAGTACATTTCCAAGGTGGAGGAGGGCAAGGTGAGAATAGCACTGGGAATTAATGGCAATCTGAGAAGCCAAATATTAATTGTAAAACCGATTACAAGCACTAATACTAGATTATTGAGCCAAATCATTCTTTAAAACGATGGAATGTTTAAAACCGATTCAAGAATGATATATTTCAAGATTATAGTCAGACAAACCAATATGAATTCTTAGTTTCTACACTTGTAGTATTTATTTGTCCATTTTTGTCCGATTTTTACCAAATTCTGGGTAGGTGTCATATTTTTCAAAGGCAATAAATTCGGATGCATATCGGAAATGTGCAAAAAATAGATGCATAAAATATGAAAAAAATATGTTTGTGACTGACCTATAAATATTACCATTACACAAAGTTATTCTCTCTATAACTTATAACCGCATTTTCTGATCCCCAGCTCAAGTTCAACGATGAGGTCTCGCTGACGCTGCGCAAGGCCACCGAGGAGGAGGAGAAGGAGTTCATCGACAAGGCCATCGAGTTCATGAAGAAGCGACGCGACTTCACCCGCAACAAGGGCAAGCGCTTCAACCGCAAGCGCCACGGTGGAAACGACCACAAACATGGCCACAAGAAGGCGCGTGGAGACTAACTCCTCGCTCAGCCGTCTATCTTCCGCCACCCGAGTCCCTTGATGGCAGTAGACCAAGCTTAACTGTTACTCGGTAGATCTAGTTGACCTAGCTTTAAGCTCTTACTTATATTACTTATGCTTTCTTGTAGTTTGCGAAACTAATCGTAAGAGAAACAGAATATTGTCCAAAAAATATGTATAGTCTACAGTTTACATAGATAACGAGATGAACTCTAATTTATTTTACATAGAAGACTACGAATCCATTTGTTTCCTTAATCAGAAAGCTAAAAATAAAGACCAGTTTGTAAAGCCCGAAACGAGTGATTTCATCTTATTAGTTTTTTGTTTTTATTTGCTGTTTTGTGTATTTTAGAGCTCTTTGTGTGTTCGTGTGAAATGAATTGAACTTAAAAGCATAAAATTTAATATTACAAGTACTTAAATGCATTTACAATTACGGAGAAGTTAAACAAGAGTGTTCAAAGAATGTTTACAAAAACTATAATAGCAGTTACAAGTAGGTAATATAATGCTTTCGTTAGGGGCTCGCTGTGCATCATCAGCTTTTACACTTAAATAGAGGTCGCTTACAAAATAGAAGCACTTAGGGGGAGAATTAAAACTAGGCGAATTAACTAAATAGTTTGGGTTGCGTTGCAACGCCGACAAAAATTATAAATTAGCTATCAAGTTGTTCTTGCGTTATAGTTGGTTAATGGGGGAACAAAACGAAAACTTCACGGGGTAAACAAAGATCTGCGCAAGCACAAAAGTTTCACAACATTTCCGATTAACTATTCTCAACAACCGAAATCCTTTCTCTGAACTCTGAACTGGGGGAACTGTATTGCGAATATTGACGTATGTATGATTTCCTTCTCTATGATACTTTGCTCATGCTAAATCGAGAGCACGAGCCGGGTTTACGACTAAGATCGAAGTATATATGTGCACTTGATATACGCGGATACAAGAGTTATGCTATGATTATATGTACTTAGTCAACATTTACGCATAAATTAAACAGTTATAAACAACGGCATCGTATTGCGATAATATAATGTATAGCGACGTGTAGGTTAGCTCCTCTATAAATAGTATGTGGTGGGGTGCGCTCAAGCGGATCTCTCTGTAGCCGGCAGAAAATGTACAAAGCTTCAGCCAGGAATTCTCGGTATTCTCCATTCTTCACTTAATCACTAGACTAACACGATTTACAAACGAGTCTCCTTGAGGCTCTATCCTTTAAGTGTACAACAGTCGATCTAATCTATCCATATATGTATATTATAATTATTCCAGTGCGTTTCGAAGGCCCTAAAACAGTCACGTTGAAAGTGAAGTGTCAGTAATCAAATAATGTCCGTTGTTGTCCGTTAAAGAATCAATGAATCAAAGTCAGTCGTTAGAACTCCCTGTAACTATCCTACGGTCTTCAAACGCACTATCCGATTAAATCCGATCCCGCCTACTTCCAGACGGGCGTCAGATCCAGGGTGAGATTCTGAATGGTGCGGTTCCGGGCGGAGCTGCGCTTCTGCTTCACGGAGCTGGTGATCTCGTTGACCAATCCCTGGCAGTCGTTGCACACGGTCACCTGTTCGCCGCGCAGATTCTCCTTCTGCTCCTGCGTCTGAGCCAGGTGACTGCCCGAGGAGAAGAGGTTAAAGCCCCTCGAGAAGCGGGATCTGTAGTATAATAATCCGAAATTAGAGATTCTTCTATCTTATATACTATTCCAAAACTCACTTCCTCTCCAGCGTGCTGTTGTTGGAGAGCGGTCGATATGCTGGACTGTGCACGGGCAGACTCCGTGGTCCCTCCATGCTCCTCGACATGGCGTTGTTGTAGTGCTGCTTCTGCTGCTGATGGTGAACGCCCGAGGGTCGCATGGCCGCCGAATAGGAGGCCGACATGGTCGCCTGGTCGTGCAGTGCCTCCACAGCCTGGCCAGGATGTCCCGCTGCCGCCGCCGAGGAGGAGGAGGAGGCTCCGGGACCCACGCTAATGCCCGGCGTGCTCATGTTTGATCTTTGGTGCTTGGGTGAGGAGGGTGCACTGCCCACAGTGCTGCGAGTCTAGAATAAAAGAAAGATTTAATTAGCAAGATGATTAAAATCCTAGTTAATACAAATCTTAAGTACCTTTCTCTCTGACTCGGAGCGCAGGAGGCGCTCGATCAGCGACTTGGGGAACTGGTCATCCATGATGTTTCCCGTCGACGAGGAGTGCGCCTGCTGGGCGTGATGGGAGGGCGATGGGGTGCTCGAGCTGGCCGGACTGGACAGCAGCGATGGCGAGATCAGCACGAGGGGCACGTTGCGGAAGTGCTCCGAGGGAATGCGCATCTGGGGGAGGGCATAGGAAATTATTAATATATAATATAATATTTAATTCAAATACCCACCTTGGTATAGCACTTGGCGCAGACGGTGCGCTGGCACAGCTTGCACTGGATGCCCCAGGGACCGAAGAACGAGAACCTCGTCCGCAGGCACAGGAAGCAGACGCGACGCTTTTCAACATCCTCCTTGACGCGCACGTCCATCGGCAGGCCCTCCAGCTCCGCCTTGGTCATGACGGAACGGATGTGAACGATCTCCGCCAGCGTGACGGACAGCCGATCGTCACCCCGCTCCATCCAGGTCTGCTTGTCCATGAAGGACTTGTTCCATGGCCCAAGCGAGGATGTTGAACTGGCCTCGTCTGATGGATGGGGATGGGGAGGATTCGCAGGACTTCTCTTTGGCGTCTGCGAAGGGTTATGGAAAATTAGTTAGGGATTTGATTTAAAAGAAATTTAGGGATAAGAAGTCTTTAAATAAGTAGCACTAGAACTGATTATTGAAGATTAGCTTTGAATTGGATTTAAAATAAATTTAGGGATAGGATTATCGCAATTAATAAAATAACTTAAATTTTATAACATGTTCTTTTGTTTTTTTTTTAGTTCAATTTTTGTAAGTTTAAAATTTTAAGGATTTCTTTGAAAAGATTGAAATGAATCTCATAATTTAATATTTCTTTTAATCCTTTCATTAATATTATAATATTTATTATAACAATAACGTTGTTGTATAAGGTAAAAACAAAGATTCTGTGGGATCTAAAAATATCTAAAAATTTTAAATTATTCAACAAAGGACTATCGTTGTTTATGTTTCATCTTTATAGGGACAATATAAAAGTCTATAAAAATTTCTCTTTCATCTTTATAAAGGATTCTCATCAGAGACATATGTGTGCCATATGACAAAAGTTACGAGGACCATAGCATCATTATTATAGGAAACTCACCTCCTTGTTGACGTCGTCCGATTGACGCGACTCGGGCCGCGTGGGCGGCATGGAGTGCGTCTCGTCCAGGTTGCTCTGGCATCCCACGATGGTGTGGCGGCGCAGCGAGGCCCTCCTCGACTCGCACTGAGTGGCCAGGTCGTAGGCTGTCGATAGAAGAGGCGGAAAGACAGTGAGTCAGGGTCAACGGGGCGGATGAGTTATTTCCATATGCGATAGTGAAGTGGCAGGTGGCAGGTGGAAAATGGAAAATGGAGGAAGTGGAAAATGTTAAATGTCAGATGTTTATTTCAAAAGGCAAGCAGTGTGTGTATTTTTGTGGTGTATATGCTTTCATGGCTGACGTCTAGATGCAATTTCGAGATCCAATATGGGGGACAAACATGCAAGATGGCAATGCATCATATTTATCGGGTTTTCTCTTGGCAAATATTTACATTCCAGGGCCGTGTCGTAGAACCTGTGGTACTCGTCCTCCGTGAAGGATGGCTCCTCTGGAGGCGCCGCCTGTCTGGCTGGATCCACTGATCAGGTTTCATTTTCATTTCAGGCAGCATTTAATTTTGTTCGTTTTTTTATTGCATTTCATTTGTTTTTTTGGTAAGCGTAATTTTTTTTTTGGCAAAGGTGAAAATACATTATTTTTATACGAGTAATGGCAACCGAAAAATCAAGTTAGTACCAAAGGAAAAGCTACTACGGGGGTGCCATACAAAATAATACTAAGGGGCAATTGCAGTTGACTTTCTTTTATTTCTACTTTTACTTAATTGTTTTTGTTTTTACAAAATATTTCGAGATTATTTGTTGTATATTTGTGTGGCTCATTGTGTGTGCTCGAGTGCCTCCTCAACCGATCGCCAATTTTCAATAGTTATTTGTTATTTCCGCCCACACCAAAAATTTTAATTTTTTTTCTTAGTGCGATTTTTTGGTAACTATTCTTTCACTCGATTTTGTTAGGGCTTTGCTTGCGTCATACAAAATCATAAAAATTATTAAATCGATATAAGTTAGCATTGTGTTCACAGAAAAACGATCAAATACCTTGGAAAAATTAAATTTGTGTTTTATTTAGGTTTGTTGTGGAAGGAAAGGAAAAAGTAAGAAATAAAAATAATATAAATTAAAAGGATACAAAATAAAACCATATCACAGACAGTCAGTTGGGATACCACAAGACAACTAATAAAATAAAAAACTTAAAGAATTTCATATTATTAGTGGTAATGTTGCTTAAAAACTTTCTGTCTGCAATTTAAACCAAAATATATTCATAGAGAAAGACTTAGGGCAATGGCTTGGCCATGGCTTTTAGGCTAGAGCACAAAGTAAACCGGTTTTTAATAGAAGATCATATATTTTTTATAGAAAAGCAAGCGTTAAGTAAATTTTGGCAAGAGCTTGATTAATTACCGGACGAGTTATTTAATTAATACTATGGAGAAAGCTTAACAAAGTGTTTATATTTCTGTTTTATTTTGTAAGTTAAAGTAAGTTACTTTTTAAAGAATTTTAAGCACTTTCAGTTTTTGAACATAAATTATAATTATAATATAGATTTCACAAAAACAGAACAGGTATTAATTTTAGGAATTTTTATCTATGTTTTAACCTATATTAAAACATATAACATTAAAGAATTACTGAACCGAAACCGTTAACCTAGGTTCTTGGCCAAAACATGTTAGATCTTCAACCGAAATCCTCTCAAATTACAATTAAATCGAAACCGCCCTTGTACTCTGTGCTCCAGTGTTGTGTGCTCCCAAACTGCCCGAGTGGTTTATACGTATAGATATATATTGCATAATCCCTGGTAGAATCGGATACTCACTTGTGCGTCTTGGCCGCATCAGCGACGCCGTCTCCCGGCAATCTTGTCGTGCCTGGCTGGGCACCATGTAGCCACCGAATGGATATGGCGGCATCTTGGGCTGCGAGCAGCGGTGCATCTCGGCCAGATTGGGATGATGGTGGTGCTGGTGGGTGGCCGCTGTGGAGTGGGTGCTGCTGATGCTACCCTCATCGTAGAAGAGATCTTCGTCCTAGAGAATAACAAGAGAGAACGCTATAGTCGGGTTGGTGTCCCGACTATCTAATACCCGTCACTCAGCTAAAGGGAGTGCGAACGCTGTATCGGGTTTGTGTCCCGACTAATAATCGTAACTCAGCTAAAGGGAGTGCGAGGGAGATAGATATATTTTTTTTTGATTGCGTATAACTTTTTAATGAATGGTCCGATTTGAAAAATGTCTTCTACATTTCGATAGGTATAAATATACACAACAAAATTGCATTTATACTTATCGGAAATCTTTAAGGATGTGGGCGCAGGACCCATTTTAAAATCGTTAATGGGCGATTGTGGGCGTTAGAGGGGGCGTGGCGCTCGGCTAAAATAAACTTGCGCTGCGTAGGAAGCCAAAGAATATGTGTGGGAAATCTCAACCTTCTAGCTTTTGTAGTTTCCGAGATCTCAGCGTTCATACAGACAGACAGACGGACAGACGGACAGACGGACAGACGGACAGACGGACATGGCTAGATCGACTCGGCTAGTGACCCTGATCAAGAATATATATACTTTATGGGGTCGGAAACGCTTCCTTCTAGCTGTTACATACTTTTGCACGAATCTAGTATACCCTTTTACTCTACGAGTAACGGGTATAAATACCGAAAATAAGTACAAATTCCTTGGGGCCATTTGAAGTACCACGAAACGCACCTGAAACTTGGAGAAATCCACTTTGATGAGCCGCTGTCTGGATCGTGACAGCGTGGAGTTTGCACCTGGAAGCACTGCAAGAAAAACGGAGATTGGGTTAACAATAAGTCCTCGATTTCTCAGGCGAAAGGCGGTGGGAAAAATGCGCTCGATTGGATTATCTAATGAATATCATTGGGCAATAGAGCAGGCATTATCTCTGGATAAGAAAACTCGCAAGAAAACTGGATTTTCCCTGCCTTTTTGCCCGCTCATTGCGCAATTAAAGGTGACATGTCTGGGTTCTCGCTTCCAGCGAAGTCAAAAGTCGTCATTGTTTTCTTTTTTTTTAGTTGACCACTTGGTAACTTCATAAAAGCCGTTAAGCCCAACGCACTTAATGGTTCTACTTGTGAAACCCACTCCGCTTGTGCAACGCCTGGGAACTCGTATCTGCAGCGGAAAAGTTCGCTTCGCCTCTGTGCAACGCAATCTGTCTGGTTTATGGGTTTACGGGCTCTGTAATAACGACTACGTGATCCGGCTGACCACTGACCACCCGGGGCTATGGGCATTATCCACTAACTTTAACCTTTTGCTGGGGGGCAAACACGAACGTTTCTATCGATCTACTTTGGGTTTGTTTTTGACGGGAAAAATGTATATTAAATAAGGGGTCAATATTTTATATATAGATTTCTAAACTCCTAAAATATTGTGCTAAAAATGTAAACTTGAAATTGATAGATAAATAACTGTATTCTGAAACACCGACGAAAATAATAGCAAAATTATTACTAATTTTTAAGACTTTTTCTTATAGTATCTTTGTTTTAAAAAAAAATAAAAACACCTATAAAATACATATTTTGGCAAATATTTACTTTAGGAAATTTTTATTTTTTTTTAAGTGCAGTAATGACTTGGTTTTTTTAAGAGTAAACAATTTTAAAACCTTTACCATATGTTTACAAGTAACAAAGAGTATTTAATTCTTCTCCTCATGTATATTTTTTGGGGTTTACTTTTCCATGACTGGGACTTAAAATCGAAGTAAACAAAAAACATTTAAAGAAATCTTTTCAATGCTAGTTAGCAACAAAGAGTATTCAACCTTCGCCACATCAACAGCTCTTTCTTGGGCTCTATTTCTTCATGCCTCTAATGACTGGAGCTTAAAATCGAAGTCATAATATGACGGCAATTACCGGAGCACTGCAGTTGCCTCGGAGTAGCTCCTTGAACACAAAACACTGCCTTGGGGAAGTCTGCTAAACTCCCCCACCCACTTTGCACTTTGGGGCAGACCTAAAAAATCGAAACCAGGTCAAAGCGGAGCACATTCAACAATGGGAAAACGCTTTTGTGGGGGGCTTTTAAAGGGGGAGATGCTGACGACTACCTTTTGATGACTTGATGGCCTGTCGCGGCTTGGGTGTTGGCGGATTATTGGAGGACGATGCTCTCGGCGCCGGCCGAGGTGTTGGCTGCGGTTGCCCCAGATCCTGGCCAGCATTTGGATTTGGAGTGGAAGAGGAGGTGGCCTGGCTGGCGTCGCCATCCGAGCCACAGTACAGTGAGGCATCGCTGCCAATGTCCACCAGATCCGACTCGCGCGGCATGTGATGTGAGCGGAAGACGGAGGCCGCCGTCGAGCGTTTCGCTGGCCGGGCATCCATGGGTTAAGCCTGGCACATTTCCTTTCCTTTCCCTTGGCTTTTCACTTTTCGGTTCTTTTCCCACACGGTTGCATGGGGCTATCGATCTGAATCCGAGTCCAAGTACGGAAAAAAGGGAAGCCACCCCTCGGAGTCACGCTTTTCTCTCTCTTTTCGGAGAGGGTTGATAAGGTTTGGTCAGCCTTTTCCCGGCTGCTCCATTAAATGCGTTTGGGTTTTCAGTGAATAACCTGATGGTAACTCAAGGTACTTTGTTTGTTTTATATTTAATGGCCAGCGCTTTCGTTTTTCAATTTCACTTGGCCCACAGAATAATAATAAACTGAAGAGCGAACGACGAGGCGTCTCTAGTGAAGCTCAACACGGAACTGAGAAATGTGGCAGCTGTCAACTCGAGTTTCCCCACTTTTCAACTCAATTCGCGCATGCGCCGCTCGCCAAGAGAAAGAGAGCGCCAATGTTTTGTTTTGACATTTGGCAGCCCAAAAAGTTGTTTAGCCGTCGTCGCTGTTGTTGCGTGGGTGATTTATACGTCACCGTTCGGGGGGGTGATGACGTAGGCAAAAGGCAACAAGGACACAGCCGCAACCGCAACCGCAACCGCAACAGCAACACATGTGATGAGTAAGCGCGTAAAGGTCCCCGAGGATATGGCAATTAAAGTTTCAGGAGTGGAGAACAAAGAAACTCGAGGTCGTTTCAAGGGTCAAGTTTTAAAATATTGTAATATACCGTAAGTAAAGAGTTCACTTTTATTTTCCTAATAGGCAAATATATCTGTTGCAAATGCCCCTCTAAGTATGCTTTAAAATGCTCATCGAGTTTTTACTTACGCCTCAAGGTTAGGCTATACAAATTTTAAAAAAGTAAAATGTAATGTAAATTTAAAGTTTTAACCAATAATAAAATTAATATAGTTTTAAGACAATTTCTACAAAATAAAATATTTGTGTTGTGTATCAAATGAAGGATATTATGTAAAACTCCACATGCCCATTTTTTTAAAAAGGTTTATATCCTTAAGCAATTGTGAATTTTTAGATGTTTTCGATTTGTAATAAAATCTAAATATTTGTTTAACTCAATAACACTATATAAATATATATTATAAATATTATACGAGGCCAAAGGTTGCAATATTATAAATAAACCCAAGCACAATGAAGGAAAACAAGATTCCCAGCCGAAAAGAAAACCCAAAATAGCCAACAATAGCCAACTTCGGACGAGGTGAGGTTGTCGTGCTTGGTTTTTCTTGGATTTTCTCGGCTTAAATGTGGTTGGTATTATTTCTGTTGTTGCAGTTGTCGTTGTTGTCGTCGCGTTGTCGCTATCTTTGTGTGTCACAATTTTGCACGCTTCCTCCAACAGAGCGGATTGGGGATTTCAATTTTCGATTCGGGATGGGGATAATGCAGAGGGAAAAATTCCCCCAGTCGGGTAGAAAATAAACGGATACTTGGTATTTAAAAAGTAGGCAACAACATATTTGTTTTGAAAAACCCACCCACAAGCGAGTTTTGAATTCTTTGGATAGTCACATCATAGTGACGATACTAAACATATCTCAATGAAAGAAAAAATTAGAACACATATTCTTTTTCATTCCATGTTATATCATCAGTTCTTTGTATATTTACGTGTTATTTTATCATCCTATTTTTGCCAGTGTTGGGATTGGAAATGTTGCCGTTTTTGATCTATGTTGGCATGCGCGCTGCGCCCGGCAAACACATACAAACAGGCAAACCTCAAACAAACAAACAAACATGGCAGAGAAAGAGAAGGACGGACAAACGGACAGACGGACGGACAATGGGGCTCCCCCAGCGACAAGTGCAGTGAAAAGTCTTGCGAGTAACTAGTTTTCCCCAGTACCTCTCTTACTTCTTCACATTTCTCAGCAGCAGGAGACATCGGCTGTCTATATAAACACACACACACATGTGCGACAACAATTTATGGGCGGCTGGCGTTCAAAATTTGGAATCGACGATGACAACACAACGAAACGAAGACCGAAGACCCAAGACCAGGACCCAAAACGTTGGACGCCCGCAGAAGATTAGAGGCGGCATCTATTTTTGGCAGGCACTGTGCAAAATCCATAAGTTTCCCCTTGACAATGGGCTTGGCTTTTCGAAGGTTGGGTCAGTGAGAGTGGCGCCCATTAAATAGTTGGATAGGGTTTAATATTATATATATAAAATATTTCTAACTAAATAATACCCTTACTTGTGGCGCAAAAAGTTAGGGATCGTCAGATATGTTTGGAAATAAATAAAAATTATTATAATCACTTACTCCTTTGCCTCAGGGTCGGCGCTTCCGGCGGCGTGATCTGCTTGAGCTCCTTGCCTTTCCGAATGGACTCCATTAGCTGCTCCCGCGGAGAAGGCTCGCAGATGCGCGGTGGCCCCAGCTGACGTTCGCTGGCCTGGTGGTTCCAAAAAGTACAGATACAGATACAGAAAAGTATAGTAAACTAATAATTTTTATTTGAATGGAGAATTAAATTTTTTTGGTACAAAAATGAGGATTATGTGATTACAGACAAACATGAAATGGAATCGACAGGAAGGAAAGCCACAAGATCAATATTTCACACTCTGCAAGCGGCAAATGGGGATTTTGATGATGGGTGACTGTGACTGCTGTTGGAATTGAGGTTGCATTTGGCTTTTGGACTGGCGGAACGGTTGGATTGGGAATTGGTTGTGGCAGTGGGATTGGAGTTGGAATGGGAATCGGGGGCTTTACACACCTTCTTTAGCGGCGGCCGTGACCTGATGAACTCCAAGATCATGGCGTGGGCATCTTTCTTGACGCGCGGCGGAATATCGCCGTTCACCATCACCTTGCGCAATTGATACTTTCTGTGAAGAGAAATTTGGGATTAGATGGGGGTTTCTATAGTATTTATTTAAAAAAGGGGTATGACAAATATATTTATGAATTATTTTAAAGAATTTAACTCTTTTTATGTTTGTTAATAACATCATTAAGTGCTTAAAGCCGAAGATAAACCCATTTTATGTATTGTATTTATTCTATATCAACTGTATATTTAATTTCCTATATTTCGAAATAAAAGCTTAAAATATAAGAGCAACTAAAATAAAAAAGTTACACAAAATATTTACCCAGAAATTATAAAAATTAAAAAATATTAACCTATATTGTAACCTATTAAAATCTTTTATTAATATAATAGCCACAATAATCATTACACAAAACAATCAAAAGGAATTTCAATTTGATTTGTAACCATAATAAATCAATCATTAAAAGGTAATGATAACTATTACTTTGCTGCTGATTTTTATGGAGTTTGCTTGACTTTAATAAGATAATTCAATAAGCAAATCATACTCACTTGGCTCTAATGTCGCCCATGAGTATTTCGTAGGGCGTCAGCTCGTACTCGATGGGTGTGCGTTCGTGGTTGCTCTTCTTCAGCCGCACTCCCCGTCGCAGTTCGTCGATCACCTGCACCCAGAAGCGTGCCTGTGGATTGGGAGGGGTGTGGTTAATCAATAGAGACCATAGATCGATATCTTCGAGGGATAGGTGGTGTAGATATGGGACAAACAAACGGAATAGAGAACATGCAACATGGAACCATGGACCTACTTGCAGTGCCCTCCACAGCTGCAGTTCGTGCTTGGAGACAGGAAGAAAAATATACAAACAAACGGAGTGAGAGGCGCAGCGCATTTCACTTTTGCAATTATTTTCAATTTAATTAGCCAATAATTTAGACTCCCGCTGCGAGGGGCCAATCCATCGGCATGACAGGCTAACTGTGCGTATGAGTAATGTGTGTTGAATGCTGCGCGATGGCAGGAAGACTATTTAGCACACAATGGGGCTGGGGCTTAATATGTAACAGTGATCCGCAATTTCACTTTCTTTATTCGCCACCGTACCGCCGTCTTCCTGTTCACCGTCAATTGGTGGCCATGCATTTTGAGACACCTCATTAAACATGCAAAACGGCCGAGGAAGGTGGGGTGTAGGTATGGTTTGTATCTTGTATCTGGGGTCTGATTTCAGCTAAAGGCATCAATGGCGGCACATGTTTTGACACCATGTTGCACATATATGTAAAAGATGCCTCCGCCACGCTTCAATTACGCCAGCAACATTAGACACAGCGGCAGCAGCAGCAGCAACATCATTTCACAGCAGCAACATCAGCCCACCTCTGAGTGGCAGCAGCTTCCGCCAGCGATGGGATGTATCTGCTGCTTTTGAAATACTATTGCCCATGTGCGTACAACATTAGTATCGTCTGGATACGAAAATTAGCATACCAAATCATCATCATCATCAGCTAAGGCAGCTGAGCGAGAAACAGACTTAATGTCTGCCAAAAAAGAAAGATTTCCTCGGAAAACCTTTTTTCCCCCGCCAGAAAAAACACGTTTAAAAGCAAAAACAGAACCAGCTAAATTTCCGCAATTCCAGCATAATAATGGCCAAACAAACACAATGTAAATTCAGTCAAAAAGTGTTTTAACAATCAGTCTGCTGTGTGACATTCTGAAGGCTGTTGTCTTCGCAGAAAACACGGTAAAACGCTGACTAAAGACACACTTCATTGGCAGTAGTCGAGAAGTAAAAGAAGAAGAAGTAAAAGAAAAACGCTCCCTATAAACAATAGACCAAACAAAGGCGAAGAGGTCTTATCGAAGAACTAGAAAATGATAAGACGGCATTTAATCAACCCTCTACAATGGACTGAAATTACGTTTTGCAATATCAAAACAAAACAACAAAAAACACAAGACACAAAACAAACACACTCGACGACGAAGACTCGTTACCAGGGGTCTTCTTTGCTCATATGATATATGGCGTATGTCTGGCCAATTAATTGGCCAATTCCATGGCTGCACCCTCTTTTTTAATCCCCCGTCTTTCGGCACATGCAAATTCACGGGTGTAAAGTGTATATAAAGCGAAAAATATTTATGGTCTATTTCATTATCTGATTGTATTCCAGTATAAGCAAATAATATTATGGCATAATGATGTGTCGTCTGTTCCACACGCAAAGGTTTCTTATTTTAGCGATTTTTTTCTTTACTCGGACATTCAAAGATTGGCAGTGAGGCGAGGAAAAGCCAAACCCAGCTAGGGATACATTATTAAAATACTAATCTACAGTGGATTTAAATTTTTGAGTATCTTTAAATTAAAGCAATTCAAAAAATAATATTTTTTTATGAGAACTGCATATACTTCACTTAATAACTTTTTTATTAGAGTATATTGACTGCCGAAAACAAAGAAAAAACGGATTAAATTTAAGCAATTAGCAGTTCATATAAATAAAGTAATTCGCGGAATTGTGGTTTATAATTCAAGCAAACAAATTAGCTACTCAATATTATAATGCACATGTGAATTTTAACCAAATTTTCAACTTCGATTTTCTCACATATCGTATTGCAAATAAAAAGCTGTTCAAAAATTGGTTCTGTATCATTTCTTGGCGCATGCAAATAAATCCATTTTTCCACCTTATCAACTTTTTTGGGACAAACTTTGCCAACTGTTCTTTGACAGTTTCAGGTTTCCATCTGATTGAAAAAATCAAACACACCTCGAACGGTAAAACCAACTATAGTATAACTTTTCACGCCACAAAAACAAAGTCAAGAAAAAATAGAAACAAAAACAAGAGCGAATTTCGGTTTGCGTGCCTGGCCAATTTGCGTGTGTGTCTCAATGAGTTTCGGAGGTTGGATGACGGCGATATGGCGATATAGCGGCCCGATGCGATGCGATGATGGCAAACTCCTGTGACGGCCTCGACATATTCACCAAAGGTCACACCAAACGGCAAAATATCTATATAGATGATATATGCGCCCATTAAAATACCTCGCAGAAAATATATACAACTATATGTATATAGAGCGGCGTTGAACTCATTAGGATGATGGCCAAAATGGAGGCGACCACCGCGGGCCAATTATTGAAATTAAAAGTGAATTTCATTTGGCAATGCATGAAATAGTTCACTTTTTTATTCCAAGCCCAGAGCGGAAAACCCCGCCGCAAAATGCTCGTGATCTCTGCGATAATGATTATGATGATGATGGCTTATGGCATATGTTTTTCGGTTCGAAGAGGTGCGCCAAACAAATCGTGAGTCGCTATGGCCACTGTAGGCCATTAGTGGAGCACCATTACATAACTAGCATGTATAGTATGGAATCTTGGTGTTTTGGTTTCGGAAGGGGACTTGTCTTGAAGAATATTACCCAGTCGTTGAAGCCCAGCTTCGCCAGTTCTTGTTGCGTGGTGGTCGAAGATTCCGAGGCCTTGATCAGCTTCTCGGCACCTGCTATTTGAGATTATTAATTAATTAACAGTCTGTTTGGTAGTTGTTTAACGGATTACTTACCATTGTTCAGAACCTGCTGCAGAAAAACACGGAGTTCAATGGTCTCCGTTACGAGGGCTCTGCAAACAGCTTTGTAGTGATTCTCGGGCAGGGTGGTTTTTATGTGATTTCTGCAGGTCTATAAAGGTAAATAAATCGGTTTTAAAAAATATGTTAATTAAATGATGTGACTAATAAGCGAACCAATGCAAATATCTTTTCTTTCTACTAATAAAATGACCTATATATTTTAATATTCCCAGAAACCGACAAGAGAATACCTTTTCTGCGGTCTTCAATGAATATTTCCTTTTGTAAACAAAATTTCTTGGAATAACCCGAAGATTACCATTATCTGTGGATATCCCGCATACATAAATTCTACGTACCAAAAGCTAATTACGTTTAACGCCTTCGGCAATTTCCTTTCACTTCTTATTACGATAATCATATCTCGTATTTAGACCAACTCAATTTATTCCGCCAAACCAAATCTTATCTAACCGTGCAAATACAGACATTGGAAAAGTGCAAATTTATCTATATTAGTTGCAGATACTTTTCCACTTTTCGTTGATGTGCTAGAAAAGTCAGGCAGGTGGAAAATGAGAAAAAAAGAAGGAAGAAAAGAACTGCTGTTCACTGTTGCCTGACAGCAATGTGTCAATTCTATAAAGTGGCTCATTAGAGAAGCACCACCCAACCCCGCCCCCTTTGGGGGGCACTCAAACAGAACCGAAGACTCTGGGCTCAATCAGCAACGGTGTGAGGTTTGTGTTTATCACACGCCCCGCTGCCAAATCGGGGATCCTCCAGCGGATCGATGGGATCGATTGGATCGATGATGATGCACCGGCTGCCGGAAAATGCGGAAAAATTCCCAATGCGCAATCAAGTGCGGCAAGAAGGCGGTTTCGGATTCAGATTCAGATTTCTGATTTGTGATTTACAGATCTGCGGCCGATTTCCTACGATTACGAAAGCGTTTGGTTTTATGGTTATTTCGGTTATTTAATATCGGTGCAATCGAGCCGCAATTGAAATTGTTTTCCAGTCGCTCGGCCGGGCATCGTAATCTAAGTATCTCACTCTGACTAGAACCCGGACTGAATCTGCCTTGTTTGCGGTTAACCGCGATACAGATACGCGCACAACAAGTATCTGCGAGATAGTTTGATTTGTGCACTTGAAGAAAAGTGACTAAGAACTTGAATAAGTATTATATATTCCCCTTCCTATATTTAAGGCTTAAAAAAAATATATTAGAAATTAAAAGAAGAGGATTCTTTAAAACATAAAAATGAAGTAACCAAATTAACCCAGCTAAGAACTTTTCTCTTTGTGTATGCTCGCTTTGGTTAACTGTAACGTGAGCCAAACAAGTTTTCCCATCGATAAATATCGATGCATTGCCTCTATATATACTTATATATATATGTCAAAAGAGCTGGCAAATGGAGCGTACTGGAGCGCCTGGTCAAAAGGTCAGATCTTGGCGCACCACCGAAAAAAATAAAGAAAAACTCTGACTCACACTTTGTGTTTTGATCGCAGCTCGAATTTGCATTGGTTTGTTTTTACTTTTTGGCACATCATGACACGACTCGATTGCAAATGTCAGATACGATCGGTTCGAATTGGAAACCCAAACTCAAACCCAATCCCAAACCCACCTCTATAATGTGCTCTAGTTCTTTGGTATCGTTGCGCTCCTCCTCGGAATCGTCGTCCCAGCGCTTGTCGCCCTCGTCGATGCCCTCGTCAATGCAATCATCGTCTGTCTCTGTAATGAAAAATATCATGTTTTAAAAATACGAATTTTATGCTTACTTCACTTTAAGTTATCAAACATTTTACGTGATTCATTGCACGCGGTCTTATAGTACTTAACCTTCATCTTGTTTTCGCTTGTGGTCAACTGATAAAAGGGGCTTTCCGTTTAAAAAATTCCCCAATAGAATGAAATAAGCTGAGCTCTGACTGAGGGACTTTACTAAGAGATTCTATTGCTCTTCAAAGCTTTACTTATCTGAATCACATTAAAGTGAGTACAATACGATTTCACCATATGAAGAAAATAATGTATTACTTGTACACTAGTTATATATATAATATTTAAATTAGTGAAAGAGTCATCGCTGATTATACAACTAAATTATATTTGAAATTTATGATTAACTAGCGTTGTTAATATCTTAGCTCTCCTAAAAATTCTTCCCAAAGTTCTAAATCATACTACAAAATAAGTATTTTTCTTATATTTACCATCTGCCGTCATAAAGTTAAATAGATTCTCCAGCTCCTGTGACATCTGGCACTCCTCGTCCTCTGGCAGATTGTAATCCAATGCGGTGTAGACGATTTCCGCCAGTTCGCTGATAATCTGCAATAATATGGAAAGGCAAAAATATTAAATATAATAATTACTGGGCTATAAAAAATGAGCAAGGAATGCCTGCAGCAAAATGCGATTGAAGTGGAGGCCAAAGGTTAAGGCCGAGGAGCCATAAAAAGTGTGCAGCGTGTAATGCAGTTAACCCCCTGAAGCCCTGAAATCGACGAGAAGGGGATTCCGTATGCCTCGTTCAGGCAGCAGTTCATTAAACTGACACTCTAATTGGAGTTTGAAGTTGACGGAGCTTCGCAGAAAAGCAGAAAACATACAGATGTATCTATATATATTTGTAGCTATATGTAATTGGTGTTTGGGAAGTTGTAGAGTTCAGGTGCAACAACAAGCAGCGACAACTTCAAACAACCAAGTGCAGTGTCAGCTGTTGTTTCACTTTCACTTTGGCGTTGGCGAAAACACTTGCCGAAAAAGCTACAAGGTGTTAAAACATCAAAGCCGAAGAAGCCAAAAGTCGTTAAATAATAATTCGGTTGCGTTATTTTTGGCCCAAGCCAGTGAACCCGTCGTCCCCATCTTCATCTCCATCTCAATCTCGATTCGAATCCGAATCTGAGTCCAAATCCGAGAGCGTGGGTTCCCGCCCACACACTTTGTGCACATTATGGCACATTTTTTCTACACGTTCACATGGGTTTGTTGTTATCGTGGAAATTAAATGATAAAACATTGTGACAGCTGTGCAGTGGCTGCAGTGCCGAGTGGCATTTCCACCCGAGGCTTCCACTGCACCACTGAAGAGGTTGACAACAAATGTCAGTTAAATGCTTCCAGCGTTTTTCCCTTGCCCCTCTGTGGAGTAGGACCCTTACATCATTTGCCGAAGAATTGCAGCTGCAATGGCTGTTGCAGTGTTGCAGCGACAGATTGCAGTTGCAGTTGCAGGCGTTGAAGGTTGAGAGACATAATTAATGGGAAAATTATGGAAGAGGTGGAAGTCAAGTGTGCCCAACTGGGAGATGGTAATACACTATATGGAAGCGAGGAAGTTAACAAGGTAGAGGAGGTAGTTAACAAGGTAGAGGAACTTTATTATTATTTTAATGATCTAAAAGTATATAATTTTAATAATATAAAAAACAATTGAAAAGCCATTTGATCTATAATATTAAAGACTGTTTTGATATTTAATTTTACAAATGAAAATGTACATTTTTAAACAGTCTTAATATTAAGTAATATCTGATTTTTTAAAGTTAATTTAATTTGTATAAGAAAAAATTCCCAGAAGTCTCTCTACATATCCCACTAAAAAAATACATTCAACGCATTTCAAGCAGTTTCTTTTTTCTAAGCCCTATAAAAATTAATAGAAACTGGCATCATTAGGCTAGAAAATAGACCTCAACTACTAATTACCATACACCGCAATTAAGAGCATAATTACAGCCTATATAGGTAAATATCAGGCGACTTTTAAGCAGGAACCATCTCCATCTTCGAGTCCCGTCTTGTGAATTTTCCCATGCAATTAGCAGAGAGAACAGAACTGGGAACCCCAGGGGAACTACGAATATCTTTCGATTCGGAATGTGCATTGTGGATGGTGAACTGAACTGAACTAAGAGTGAAGTAAAGCAAAGTGTAATATGCCAAAGGCGAATTGCCTTCGTGGATATTTCTTTTTTCACCCACTTTGCATACACATCCAGTCTAAATAAATGAGACTGTCTTTGTTGAGGGTGCGCCTGTTCCCAATCCGCCAATTCTCACCGAAAAACCGAAAAAAAACAGAAACTACTCCCCGAACTCGGGCTAATATCAAAGTTGAAACCACGGACATGCAATGCGGCAATTATAAGGCGGTTGCCAAAGTTCCAATTCGGTTTTTGGCCAACAAAGGGTTCCAACGTCCCCCGCCCATTGTTGTCAATCTAGTCAGTTTAACCTTTCGCCTGACCTCCATGCTCGAGGAGTTACTGTACCTGGCTGTTGGTTCTCATCGGCTACTTCTGTTTTTTCCCTGTTTTTATTCTTTTTTTTTGGGGCAGTTTGGACTTTATTTTTTTGAACAAGAGCTGAGTCAGGCAAAACTAATCGAAGGAGGGGAAGAGGGTTGAGGATTGTCTGGCGAGGTGTGAATATTTGAATGCACTTTGGGGCCAAACCACTCAAGTGCAAAGTACTCGAGTTTATTTTTGTGAAAAATTAACTAAAGGTCAAGCTATAAAGTGACCGCGACTGGAGGCTCATGGAAATAACTTGAAATTAAGAATAAATAATAAATACTCATAAGTATTCATTCATTATTATTTACAAAGTATTTGTTAATAGTTTCTTCCTTATATTCCCTTCTAATATTTTTAGTCGGTCTTCAAAATTTCTTAGTTCTTTTCGCCGAAAGAAATTTTAGACCGCAAATCGCGATTTTCAGTTTGTTATATTTATGTGCAGACCAGACCTCTTGCAATCCTCCATTATGACTACCCATTGTCTCGTAAGCATCTGGGGGAATCATAAACTCCTTGTCTGGCCATCTGCCCTCCGCTCCTTTCCTTGCGGTCTCCAGTCTTCGCTCTTCGGTCTACAGTCTTCAGTTTGCGATCTCCTACTGTTTTCTGCGGTCTACCCACTTGACTTGACCATTTCCTAGTCGCTGGCTTTGGCTTTTTTCTGTCGCTATCAGGATTCACATTTTATGCAATTGTTTCCATAGAAAGAATGCCGTGTATAAATACGTATATATTTAGATATACACATATATGTGTACTTATATATAGGCAAACGACAATCGGCAGCCGGCATACAAGTAGCTCTCGACTCTTGGCCACTTCTCCCGGCTATCTGGTCAGTCGTGATCAATGTTGGCAGCAGCAACAGCAACAGCAGCAACATCGCAGCAACAGCAGCAACATCGCAGCACCGCAGCAACAGCAACAGCGGCAAAAAATGCGACGCCAATGTAAAGCAGCATAAAACGGTCGGAACTCTTTTTTCTAGGAGGGGATTCGGGGGGCTAAACATCGTTGACAAGGCGACGCTGGCGACAACGATTAAAATCTCTGGGGAACAGCTCACAAAAAAAAAATAAGAAGGAAAATAAATAAATAAATAAGAAAAAGAGCAGAGAGACAATGAGAACTGGAAATATTTTTGTAAATTACAATGCAATTTTGTAGCGCACACAAAAGGTTAGGTTTTTGCTTCTTGTTCTCCTATTTTTGTTTGTTCAGTCCGGTCAACTGTTTCGGGCCCATTAAGCACTTTACATTCGATGTGGCGAGATCAAAGTGGCTAAAATTTATGGCCGCAGATACTGAGATACACGGGACCAACCAACTATAGCTGCAGCTCCACAGGCCAGTGGGCCGAAGGCTGAAGACAACTGAAACCACACTCGGCCGGCTGGGAGCAGGTTATACAATTTTAGATTTTCCAGTTTCTTTGGCCAGGCACCCAAGATGGATGACAGGGGGCGACAGGTGGGCACGGGGGCTGGGGATCATTTGTGATAAGGAGATGGCAGGGGAGGCCAATGAGTATGCATGTTTGACCCAAATTCAGGACAAGACTCGAACAGCCAAGAGAGAATTATGAATATGAGCGGTACACACGAAGAAATGTGGGCTTTTAATTAACTAAAACAAGGTAAATAGTTAAAAAAAAACAAATTCAAAAAAGAAAATATATTTTATTTAAAATATGTCATTCGTTTATGATTAAAAAATCTGCATTTTTAATAAATATTTTTTAAAGTATGCAATTGTAAATATTTAATAAATATTGCCATTAATACCATATAATAAGAAATAAATACATTTAAATTATGGTAAAATTGATTGGTTTATAATCATCTTATTCTGTATTTTTAAATATTACCTGAATATTATTTAATGTTTTCTATTTTCAGAAGTTTTAATCTCGTTTTATAATCTACCACTAAATATTTTGTTTTTAAGTCAATTTTCCAACCTTAAAAAAGTGACTAAAATTCCAGCCTTTGGAATTGTGTAAATTCATGAAATCACGAATAGGTGAATATTTTTCAGTGTACCTCACATGCTGCATGTCATCTAATAATTGCGTTCTCAGCTTATCAGGTAAGGTGTCGTCCCGCACTTAAAAAATAGGGGAAAGTGAATGGGAATGAGAACCTGACTCTGAGTGTGAATGTGAATGCGAGTACGAATATGAGCGCCGACTTAAGTGCGAATGAGTGCGGTTCGGTATTTGTAACTGTCTTGAAATAATATTTGCACATTTTGCCAAGACCGCCTGCAATTAGCCGACGACATGATTATCAGGCAGGTGATTCCCCCACCGCCCTCTCACCTTTCCCCCCTTTCGCCACCCCCTTTTCGAGGTGCATGTTGCCTTGTTTCTCAGGTGAGTCTGCTTTCGTCGTTTTCTTGTCTTTTGTTGCCAGCGACTCGTTTGCCTCGGAAACTTTTGTTTGTTTCGGCATAGACGTGCGAACTGGGTTAATTTTCTATATAAGTACATATATAAATACGTATATAAATCTATGTACAAGATATAACTATGCTGGTGCTACAATTATTGTTTATGTTCATGTAGAAAACGGCAATTCACACGATTCGCAACGGCTAAAATAGTGAATAATAATAATTTCCCATTATTTTCTTTCTTTGTTGATACCATAAATACATTTATATATACGACTTGCTTGGCTTTTGGTCTGAAAAAGAGGCCAATATGCGATCTGTTGAGAACTGATAAGACAATTATGAAGTTGAGAATGTGGGCCACTGGAAGCGATACCAGGAAAGCCCCTAGAGCAACTGATATATTATGAATCATTGAATCGTTCGCTCACAAGCAAGAAATAGAGAAAATGGTAAGTTTAACTTAACATAACTTTTATTTTCCTCAGTGGACAATCTTAGAGCTTTAAGTCATTACCTCCTCGCCTTCGTGTTCTCATGGATCCATGGGAACCTATTTCGCCAATTGCCAGTCTACCCAACCCATCCATCAATATCAAATGCTTCAATCAAAACGCTTAATGCAGT